GAAATGGCATTACCCAATCTAGGGTAAGCTTGGCTTGGGTAAGCCAGGAGAGTGTATGATGAAGGGGCGGACAGGCTTCCTAGGGTTCCCACAGTGTGTTTAAGAGCCCCTGTGAGACCGGGGGTCCTGTTTCCTCAGGATGCCCTGGAAGGAAGGCCTCAGGGGCCCGTCATTTATGGAGTTAACTGGAAGCCTTCCTGACTCTAGAGACTGTTGCCGGGCACTTGGGGGAACCCACCATGAACTAGGAACCACCAACCCTCAGAAAGTGAATCAACCATAGCATATGTTCCCAGCTTCAAACACAGGCACCGCAATATGCTTGCCTCATCCCGACTATAACTCGAGGCCTACAGGCTTCAACTAATTTGGGCCACAATCTGGTGACCAAGTGCAGACTGTGTTAGAACCAGGTAGCATTTGCTAGAAGAACTTCAAAGGAGACTGTCCCAAAGCTCCTTATGGTCTCTTGCACATGGTAGGTGCTCATTAGATGTTATGTATAGCTGTTAATTTGTAGGTAACATCGACTGGGCTTGTGTATTCTTACAGACTCCTGGAAAAATGGAAGAGTACATTTCTGGGGAAGGGGTGAATAGGAAGGAGATAGTGAAAGGAATACCTGAGTTTTTGAAGGGAAAGTTCTCCTTGTCTAATTATTTTTTCTCCTTACTTGTCAAGACTTAAAAAAAAAAAAGAGCAGCTGTTTTTTACTCAATGGCTATTCATTTAATCTTTATGTGACTGAACTTCCCTGATATGTTTTAAACTCATGAGGCCTTTGAAATACTAATAGCTGATTTCCCTGCAAATGGAAAGGATATATTTAGAGGCTTTTCTGGGAGAATGAACTGGCCCCAGGGATTGGTAATGGACTGTAGAGCCTTTCACCTCGAGGTCAGTAGGTCAAATCCAAATCAGGCCTGGGGTGGCTGAGAGGCATTGTTTGAGTGACAGCTGTTGGGTGACCAGGCTGAAAGGAGCTGGAGGGTTCGGCTGCATTTCAAGTGTAGTGAACAGGTGCTGTCTGCGGTGATCCTGGCAGAGGATGAAAGAGAGTGGTCAGAAATAGGCTGAGCATGGTCTCTCGGCCCCAGAGGCCGTCTTTGACCTGGCGTAGTGAGGAGCTTCCCTTCTCAGTACTGCTGTGACAGGAGGAAAGCCGAGGAGACGACAAGTATAAACTGCCACGGCCTCAGAAGAAAGGGGAGGCTCAGGCTGCATCATCTGAGGAAAGAGCTGACTTCTGCGCCCTAAGCTTTTCAGGGCCTCCCACTTCGTGTGTCTTTCTCCTCACACCCTTCCTTTCCGATGGGAGCTGGCACTGTTTTCTATCACTGAGTAAGGACAAAGAGTGAAGATGCAAAGGGATCAATGGGAAGATGGCAGTGATTAAAACAAATGGTGCAGGTTTTCTTGTTTTGGTTTCTCAATACATGTTACGCACCGCATACCTCAGACTCAAGGCATCCAAGAGGTGGGACATAAAATGGGTGGTAGAAAGGGAGGTCAGAATTTGGTAGCTGCTTCATAAAAAGCTTAGGATAGAAAGCCACATTAGTCTCATCTTTTCATTTGACCATTGAAGAAACTGAGGCCCAGAGAGTTTGGGGTAGGTCACTGTGTAAGGCTCTAAGTTGCCAGCAAGAGAGGTGAGTTCAGCTGATGTAAACAGGGAACAGAGGGATTTGAGAGGACATCCAGAAGCTCACAACACCTCGTGGGAACCAGGTGGGCACAGGTAGGAGCAAAGCAGAATCTCTCCCTGGGCCTTGGGGGCTCTTCAGGGGAGGCCCCTGGGCTATAGGTTAGAGCAGAGAATGCCCCACTCTAGGCATGAAACCAGCATCCTCTTGCTTTAAGAGTCTTCAAATTCCACCTGATAGGAGCAGCCTTCCCTGACCACTGCATAGCACCCTCCACCTGCTGTACCCTTTCCCTTTTATCTGTTCTTTCTTGCTCTCCAGAGTACTTACTACCATCTGACAGGGACTTGTTTGTTGTTTACTTTTTGTCTCCACCCCCTACAACTTGGATTTCATGAGGATCCGGACTTCGGGGTTTTGTTTGTTTAATGCCCCCGTGGGCCCTTTCAGAGCCAGTAGAGTGTCCACCAGAAGCTGCCGATACCCTTGGGAGTGGAGCTTCTTTTAGATTCCAGGTCTGGCAAGTTGCAAAGCTCCTCCTTTGGGAACTTCTCGGCTATGGGGTAGTCTCTTTCCAGAGATTTGCCCTTTTTGCCTGCATTCCAAGGTCCTCAGTTAGCTGGCTCTTTCCCGATCCTAAAGCACAGAGAAATGGAGCTTAAAAGTGAATGAACCGATGTAGAAGGAGGAGAAAGAACTACCGGAGGCCAGTGTCCCTGTGCTGTCTGGATGCCAGATTTTCAATCAAGTTTTTGACAGCAGGCTAGAGTGACCTGTCCACTAACCTGGCTAAACAAAGATTCCTCCTAGCTGTGTCCAGCCTCTCTCTTCATTTTCCTTTTTCTCCTTCTCTCCTCCTTTCACCTGCAGCCCGACACTCCCCCAACCCCCATCCATTTTCCAGGAAAATAAATCTCTGGGAGGAGGCCTGGAGAGTGGATCTCGGAGAACCCTTCTGAATAAATGTCTATATTAATGAATTATTAACTCAGCCACCCATGACCTTAAACCTAGAAGCAGGAGTGCCGAGGGCAGAGAGGAGAGCTGCTGAATCCTTTATTGGAGTCCTGTCAAAGGCAACCGACCATTTGTTCCCTTCCTGCATCAGGAAAAAAATAATTAATACGAAAGGCAAACTTTAAGATTGTATGTCAAACGAAATCAGATAGAAGGTCTCCAGGACACAGTCCTCTTCTTCCTTTCCTGCCCCTTCCTGCCACCCCCTCCCTGCTCTGTCCTCCCACTGCCTTCCTTCCTCCCAGCTAAGGGTACAATGGGCTTCCTAAGGATAATTTTCGGGGGGGAAAAATTGCTCGAGAAAATGATGAATTTGGGTAGTTAATTTATCGATCCCGGCTCCTCTTCCCACTTGTTTTATTTTAGAGGTCATTAATCAATGAAGAAAAACACCACCGTGTCCCCCCGTTTGCATTTAATACACTCACGCTCCTTATTTATTCCTCTGGAACAAATTCCCAGCAAATATTCACCCATCGATTTGGGAGCGATGGATTCTTATAAAGGTTTCCTCGCTTCTTTAAGTGGTAGAAGTGATTTGTTTCCGCGGTCTTCCTCTAAATAATGAAGAGGAAGGGAGCGGATTTCGGGGGTTCATGTCTTATGGTCAATAAGCTCGCCTTCTAACCCCCCCTTCCCCCCCCCCGAGACTTGCCAGGGTGGCCCTGGCCCAGCGGGCCCAGGAACAGCTCGGGGAGCGGGCAGCAGCCTCCGCAACGAAGGCAGCGCCTGGGGCAGCCGGCCGTCTGGCCTGGGCAGCTCGGGGTGGTGCGCCCCTGGCGGGGGGCGAGGGGCGATGGAGGGGGCGGGGGAGGGGATGCGCTGACCTCTGGCCCAGCCAATTCCCTCCTGGAGGTCAAGGTCGGAGCAGGGGCCCTGCCCGGCATGGTGGGCCTGCTGGGGATGCTCGGACTCCTGCTACACTCCCCTTGAGACCTTTCCTGAGCTCCTGGACTCCCCTGCCCCCTGAGCGCCCCCTCTAACTTTCGCCCACCTCCTTCACGGGAGTTCCCTAAGGCCTCTGGGCTCTGGAGTCCCATCGCTTCTCCACCCGCGCAGGCCCTAGGCCTCTGGGGAGGGGGCCCCTCGAATCTGGCAGGTCCGAGACACCACACAGTCACAGTGAGAGAGAGAGGCTCTCTACAGTCTCTGCTTCTCCCCTGGGTCCCAGAAGCACGAGGAGGAAGCCAGGTCTCCCCCAAGGTGCCCCCACACCCCCCTGCTGTCAGTCCGGAAAGAAAGGGTGGGGGATTGACCAAGGTGGGCAGGAAAATGCACTTGGTGCCTCGCTGACCCCAGGTTGAATCTGTCTCCATCACTCATTAACAGCGTGACCTTAGGCAACCTACCTAACCTTTCTGAGCCTCAGTGCCCCCATCTGTAATATGGGGGTTAAGGACAATGCTTTCTCCTAGTGGTTGCTGGGCGGACTAAATGTAATTGAAGCGCCTACCCGTGCCTGGCCTGTCGAAAGCTCTCACTAACCGGTCAGCTAATCTTATGACAAAGGGAACCCCCTGGCTTCCCCGAGTGTGGGAGGCATGAGGCCGCCGCAGCGGTTGCTGCAACTAGTGTCTCAAAATCCCGAGGCTTTCAAGTGTGTTTGGGGGCGGTGAGGGGAGGAGTTCTTTGGGACAGCCAGTCCCACAGCGCTTGTAAGTGGCCGGCGCCGGGCCGCTGCTGCTGCGTCGGGGCTTCCATTCTCGGTGCTCCCTGTCTCTCGCAAAGAACAGAGCAGACTCCTCGATTCTCAGCAATGAACCAGGAGAGTGTGAGAAAGAGAGTTTGCCCCTTCTCCCGTAGCCCGACGGGCACTCTTTGGCAGTTCTGCGAGCAGATTAACTGAAACGGGCCTGGAACTTCATCCTCCCCTCCGGATGGAGTTGTTCAAAGCCTACGGAGGCTGCCTGGTTAGCCTCGGGGTCCTCAGCACCGTGGGTTTTCCCTCGTGGTGTTTGCCTTCAACTTGGGTACTATCAATCTATCCAGGGATGACTGATGACCTTGTCACAACGACGCCAGTCAAAACATTTTCGGTCCAACTCTGTGGCTCCAACCAGCATCCAGGCATCCTGCGTGAGACCCGGAGAGTCTAAACAGCGCGTTTCCCAGACTCAGACGAAATTAGTGGTGGGAAGACAAAAAGAAACAAGCAGAAATCAGGAACGAATGGCTATTAATTGTTCAGGGTAGCGGGTGTTACATAAGTTGGTTTGTTTGGAGAAAGACAAGTGTCATTTCTTCTTTTTGAGGTGTGGACAAAGCTCCGGCGATAGGAAAGCGCCTGAACCCATCAATTTCACCCACCCTGTCCGTGCCCTCCCCACAGCACTGTGAATGCTTGGAAGAGCTGGGCGCGGGCGCCTAATTCCGGGATGTGAGATCGCGCCTGGAAGGGTGGTGGAGGCCCAAGGCGCCCGGAATAGGCAAGGTGAGGGTGAGACTGCGCTTCCACCCTGCACCTCGGACGCCAGGTTTTAGGGTGTGACTCCTCCCAGAACAGCCCCAGGTAGCCAAAGGCAAACAAGCCTCACTTGTTTCCGGGGGCGGTTGTACCACGAGACGTGGCTCTCGATACTTGCCTCCCATGCCAACAAGGAGAAGGAGGGAGCCCCCCAGGAAGACAACTTGAGAGTGGGTGGGCTGCACGCTGGGCGGTGTGAGACTTCATTGCAGCCGCCTCCCAGCCCCACCGCCAGTCTTGAGTCCCGCCAGGACCAGCCGCCCTTTAGAGACCCTCGGTCTCACCTCCCAGCTCGGCAGAGCCTGCCTCCTCCGCTGCGGAGTGAGGATTACATTCCCGAGCGCAACCCGCCTCGCCCCTGACTCTCCCCCTCCCCGCCAGACTCCCTCACCCTCCGCCCCCCAAATTTATGTTAGAGGTTGCGTGGCGGGCTAGTCTAATCTAGCACCCAGCAGTACTCCTGGGAAAACTGAGCCGGGCAAAAGCGCAAACCCGCCCCAGGAACTGGTCCACTCGCCGGGCTGAGCGCGCCTGCCCCGATGCGGACACAGGAGTGCGTGCGGAGATGCATTCCGGTTTCCGCGTTTCCACTGCTTTCAGGATCAGGGCAGCGAACCGGCACCTAGAAAAGATATATCATGGTCAGAAAGAGACAACAGGCGAGCGAGAGACGTCACGCCAAAAAAAAGTGGGGGGTGGGAGGGCGGAGGAGGCATTTGTGCAGGAGAGGCGCACAGGCAGTATGTGGATATAGCCGAGTTAGAACTTCCTTCTTCCCTCTCCCCTCCTCTTAGTTCTTCTGGCCTGCCTCCCGCCTCCCCCCAACCCCCCATCTCTCTCTCTCTCTCTCTCTCTCTCTGTCTCTCTCTCTCTCTCTCTCACACACACACACACACACATACACACACACTTGTATTTTGTGCTGTCGTAAAACCCACGTGTCCAGCCGGGAGGCTGCCAGAGCTTGGAGCCGAGGAGCCGGGACGCGGCGGCGGCCGAGCGCAGCAGCCCACGGCGGCTCCGTCCGGCGCCCGGGTCAGCCCGCGCTCCCGCGCTCTCGGCCCGACTGCTTTTGCGCCCTCCGCAGGCCTCCACATCCCTCGTTCGCGGCCGGGGAGGGCTCCGGGGGGCCGATCTCTAGGGCTCTCCTAAGCTGCCCAGGGGCATGTAGAGCACCCGGGACGCACACTCTCCCGCACGCTCATCGAGATACACGCACGCTCCCGCCGGAGACTCAGAGTTTTCAGGTAAGGCGAGCATCATATAGAACTGAGGGTCTTGAGCCCCGGGGATAGGAGGCTGGAGGTCCCGGGCTGGGGGCGGGGGGCGAGACTGTCCCGCCTCCTGGCGCCGGAGGCCAACGCGGCTCGGGCGCTGCGCCACTCCGGCTCGGGTCGGCTCTGGGCGCCGGCCGAGGGCGGGAGTGGCGTCCTGCAGCTGAGTTGTGCGAGAAGCACCCTCTCGCCGGGCTTCACCAGTGCAGGGTGGAAGCTGGGCTCCCCGGCTGGAAGGCAAGGCAGCGCGCACACAGCTCCCTCCGCGCGGCGCCGCGGCTTCGGAGTAAACTTTGCGCCACAGCGGAGTTTGGAAGAGGGAGCTGCCAAACCCGGCGGTCGCCGGCGGAGCCAAGGGCTCGGGCTCTCGCTCCGGGGTCTCGGCGGCCGTCCTCCCCGCCCCTCTCGCACTAGGCCTTTGGCCCGGCTCACGCGCACCCTCCTCTCTGCCCTCTGCCATCAGCTTGAGGCGTCGGACATGCTGAAGCCCGGAGACCCCGGCGGCTCGGCCTTCCTCAAAGTGGACCCAGCCTATCTGCAGCACTGGCAGCAACTTTTCCCGCACGGCGGAGGCGGCGGCCCGCTCAAGGGCGGCGGCGCCGCGGGTACCCTGGGCGCGCCGCAGCCTCCCCAGCCGCCGCCGCCGCCGCCGCCTCCCGAGCGCGCGGAGCCTCCTCCCGACAGCCTGCGCCCGCGGCCCGCCTCGCTCTCCTCCGCCTCCTCCACTCCGGCTTCCTCCTCCACCTCGGCCTCCTCTGCCTCCTCCTGCGCCGCCGCCGCCGCCGCCGCCGCTGCCGCGCTCGCGGGGCTCTCGGCCCTGCCCGTCGCTCAGCTGCCGGTGTTTGCGCCCCTGGCCGCCGCCGCCGTCGCCGCGGAGCCGCTGCCCCCCAAGGACCTGTGCCTCAGCGTCGCTTCAGGCCCGGGGCCCTCCAAGTGCGGCAGCGGCGGCGGAGATGGCCGGGGCGCCCCGCGCTTCCGCTGCAGCGCCGAGGAGCTGGACTATTACCTGTACGGGCAGCAGCGCATGGAGATCATCCCGCTCAACCAGCACACCAGCGACCCCAACAACCGTACGTAGCCGCAGCCCGCGCGTTCTCTCCCGGGCGCTGGTGCCGTGGAGCGCGGGCGCCCGTCGGGGAGGCGGGTCTGATGAGGGGGACACCGGGTGGTGGGCTGGTCCAGGCCGCGGACCCGCACCTCCCAGACCACTGTCGGAAAAGTTTTCCGGCGTTAGAGAAGGAAGGAAAAGGGATGGGATGACCGGGTGGCACCTCAGGGTTACCTCTTCGCTCTCCCCTCATCCTCTGCTTCGCAGCCCCAAGTCTTTAGGACTCGAGTTGTTCGAGGACCGGGATATACAGATCTCGGTCCTCCCGCAGGATAGCCCCGCGCCGGTCGTGTACTGGCCGCGCGCGATGGGGGGTGCCGGGGACAGGCGGGCCTTAGCGGGACAATTGAGGGTCTCAGCCTTTCTAGGGAGAGTGGATCCCAGGGCTTGTGTCTCCTTCTCTCTACCTTCTCTCTGGGTGAACTGCGTCAGCTCATTTTCGGGCCTCGGGGTTGTCGGGGGTACCGGCAGGGAGCTGCTGGCTGGCCGAGCTTCTCTGGGGTCGGAGTTTTGGATGACAACTGGGTCAGTTTTTCCCTGTGGGCAGGCATTATTCTTAGGTCTGTTATTTATTTAGAAAAGCAAGAAAAGAAAAGAAAAGTTTAGTGAGAAAAATATCGCGTCTTCAGGGCAGGGTCGTTCCCTGCGGATCCCGCGTTCTCCGTGCACCCTTGACCCTGCAATCGTTCGCAGTCGGTAGCCACCCGTGTTGGCGTACTTACTTATTTTTTAAAAACTAGGGTAACGGTAATTTAGTATAAGAAGCTTACTCTCCTTGTCCCCAAGTAAACAGCAAACACCTAATTAAACATCAGGTCTCTTCTAGCTTCAGTTCCTAAATTCATATTTTCAAACGCTTATCACAAGCACAGTTCCATTTTGAGGTTTGAAGCAAAACTTTAAATGAAGACCAAGAATGTGTATTACTTTATATCCACTTCTTTTTGGTAATTTCAAAAGTTGCAATATGTTTACACCTAACGTGTTGGGGTAAATACTTCCAGAGACCTCTGGAGAGACCGTTAAAGCAGGATAAGAGAGTCAGCTTGAAAGCAATACAGGATTTTAAAGATCAATACTCACTCAGCTATTTTCTTCATCTCATTCCTTCCTCTAGCTTCTGTATGAGGAAAGATGATCATAAACATGTGTTGTTATTTCTATCTTGAATAACTCCCTTCTTGCAAAATGTCTACCACTCTGTGAACTTCTCAATTCGTTGCAAAAGCAAAATAACTTCAGATTCTAGTTATTTTAAGGACTCTCAAAGTCATTACTTTGATGAAAAACACTGGGCATGAGCATAGTGATTGAGGTGTATTAATCTTCTCTTAATGGCTGGAAATAATTGTTCTGATGGAGATGATTATTACTAACAATAAGGGCAGTTCTCTACTTTTTTCCTTTCTGAAGTCTGAGTGTAAAATACGTGTTTAAAATGAGGGTTTCAACTTGAATTTGCTCTGCAGTTAAAAAGACTCTTGTATCTCAGAGTTTCAGAAAATTTTATAAAATTATATTGTCAGTGGATTTCAAAAAGTACTTATCTCCTACTGAATTTCTTGAATGTGTTTTCAAAGCAGTCCTTTAAACACGTGAAATAAATAAGAAATGAAAAGACTTTTTTTACCACAAAGTGGAATATGGTCATTTTGGGCTGAGAGTGCTTCACTGAGCTTGCACTTTCTCCTTTGAATGGAATCAGTGCTGGAAAAGACACCAGCAGCGCGCCCCAAAGTCCTGGCTGTGTGCTGAGCTCCCTGTACCGTTTACAGCGCAATCTTGAGGTTCAATACATTTTCACCAGAGAAAAAGCTAGACTAATCAGAGAAAAAATTGAGACAGATTCCTAATTAATATATAGCTATTGAACCAGTTTATTGCCTAGGTAAATTTTTTCCTCTGGCTGGAAGAAATGAATTATGATTTATTTAAATTATTCCTATTGTGTTAATCTTCTGGCATCTCCTTTTGAGTCCATTGGACTGCTTCAGTGTGCAAAGTGCAGGGGAAAAGACCGAAGGGAAAGGAAGTCAGATTGTTCTCTTAGAGTTACACTTCACGTTGCTCCCTAATTAATGGGCAATTGAGAAAGAAAATAGAAAGCTGAGAGAGCTCTGTGTAGTGCTGGGAGATGAGGTCTCCCATTCTTTCAGGAACTTCTCTGGGCAAGCTAGGCACTTATTTTAAGCCTTGGGATGTGTTTTTACAAAGATGAAGTGAGAAGTGATTGAGTTTAATCTAGCTAGGAGCTCAAAACAAATCAGAAATGCGAAGGGTGGGAAACTTTTTTCCCTTGGCAGGAGAAGTTGGTATGTTTGTTACTAGAAAGGGGGTGAAAACCACAGCTTCTCCCCACCGGCAGGTAGTACGCGGGTGGCGGGTGGGGTGAGAGGTAGGAAGGGGAGCATCTATTAAGTTCTCATGTGTAGATTTCCCTCGGGTTCCTTTCAGTCTTGCCATCTTCCCCTAAAAGAATTTTGTGAAGCCACCACTCAGCCTTGCTTCATTCTGTTACTTTGTCTTGAGTCAAAACTCTCTTTTTCTTACAAGGCAAAGAAAGGGGCCTTCTTACTTCCCTGTTTCCTTTAGAAGAGTAACTTTTTTTGCCTGGGATCAGCAACCCAGTAACACTTGTGAATCAGTAACAGTAGTTTCACCTTGAAACTTTACTGGCATCTCTGGCAAATGCCATAGTGAAGGCATAGTGGAGGTCTTGTAGCTCTCTTTCATACAAGATTTAAAAACAGCAGAAACTATACAAGCTAGCCCGGGTGAGTTCTTCCAATATATTCCTGTTATCTGACTCCAGGTATCAATTTATTCTATGACTGAAGAACACTTTCCACTGAAGCTCTGAACGCTTAGCTGCCTCTTCTTTCATCTCTTCAGAGTCCGGTGGTCGTTGTGTAATGTAAATGGGGGATGGGGCCCTTTCTTCCCCCTCTTATATTACTGCCCTGGTTTGCTGTTCGGTTGCCTGAAGCCATTGATTCCATCAGACGCCGTCTCAGTGGCCTCTTCTCAGGCTCTAGGAGGTGGTGCGTTGCTCTGAGACCCTGTCACCACTCTTGGAAGGTAGCGAGAGACCGCCACGGGGCGCACGTGGCATCTGTGTTTGTAAGGAGACAGCCAAACCAATTATTTTTTCATACCTTTTTGTGAAAATGTTTCTCCCTCATACTGGGTAGGAAGGCGGGAGCTAAGGCCTCCGAGAGTCTCTCTGCCGATAGTCCGGCCGCTCTGCAACCTCCCCAGCTGGAGGTCTCTGTCGCCTCCTGGTTTAGGGGAGCCTTGCTGCTCAGGGCTCAGCGCCGGGAACAGCGCTTGCATGTTCACAGGTGTAAGAGTAGGGTCTGAGGCTCTCCAGTTGGTAGGGCCACCCTGTCCAAGGGTTTGGGGAGAGGGACTGGGGGAGAGAAGGACATCTGGGCCCACCACTGATTTGTCCGGTCGAGGGCGCAGGGAAAGAGTTAAAGGAGAGCGGGTATTTTCTGACTTTCCCTAATCTCTTCCCACTCGGTTGAAAAACCCAGGTCCTGTTTGGGAAGCTCCCAAACCCAGTGACCCACCAGCAGGCTTTCCTGCCACCGAGGCACACTCGCGGCGCTCCTCCTACGCAATGTCCCCGCTGTCAGTGGCCAGCAAGCGACTTAGATTTCAGACCTGGTCCCTGGTGGGAGGGAGGCTCCGGCGTCAATGTGGGCTATTGTATTGTTCTATTTTTCTTTTTCTCTTTTCTCTCTTTTTGTGTGCAGGCCCAGCCCCATCCCATAACACACATGATTTAGTTATTTTACATCATTCGTTATCTAGCGCCCTGAAACTGAACATAGAGCCATATATTAGATTGAGGTTAGAAGAGGTGGCGACTGTTTATTTAAGGTGATAAAACGGTCCATCAGCAGTAATCTCCATCGATATGTGCCACCAGGAGATGAAGGATGAGGGGACAAGCCACAATTAATTGCCCTATAGTTTTGTAGGAGAGAGTGGAGCCAGCCCAAGCCCGCTTCGATCTCCTCTCGCGCCTCCTATTCATCATCTCCGCCTTGTATATGGCGGCCTCGCAGGGGCAGGGCCGGCCGGGTGGATCTCCGCGCAATATCCTCTCGCCCTCGCACACTGGTGCTCCCATTTAATTTATTAATACAGTCGTCGGGAGACAAATAAAATCCACATTTCCTCCCTCTCCCTCTTTCCCTCCCCCTTTTGTCTCTTCCTCTTGGACCCAGGGCCAAGCCGAGCAGGGAAAGCCCAGCGCGTCTGCGATTCGTAAGGAGCCTTAAACTCGCCTACGGAGAGAATCCTCGAGAAGGTTCCGCGGGAGGCGGGGGCGCGACCACAATCGGCTCCCCTTCCCGATGGCGGGGCTAACCCCTTCGGGGAGCCTGGAAGACTCCGGCCGAGTGGAAGGAGAGGGCTGGGTGGGTGGCGGGGCTCCGGGTAAAGGGCGCCGGCGGCCACGTCTGCTCTCGTAAGAAAGCCCTTCGCGGGCAGGAAGGGGGCGAGGCCTTCGAAACGCAGCCTACGCGCCGAGGCCTCCAGCCGGGGCCCTGAGCGCCCGCCCGCGCATCGCCCACCGCCAGCCGTCTGGCCCGTGGCGCGGGGAGGGCCGGGCCGTGAACTCTGCGGCCGCAAGGTCCCGCCGCGCGCCCTGCCTGCCCTCTGCCCCGTGGGCCAGCCCCAGCCACCCCGCGACCCCTGTCGCCGGTGCCCGCGCGCACAGCGCACGCGGCGCTGCCAGCAGACGGCCGTCCCCGGGCCGCGTCCCCGGGAGGGGATCGATGGGCGCCGGCCCGCCGGGCTCGGCCTGCGGGGCTGAGGGCCGCGACCTCGGCGGCGGCCGCCGCGGAGGATTTATAGCCCGGCGGTTCCTGCTGCCCAGGAGGGGAGGCAGGCTCTTCGCGGCTCCTTGTTCCCTGTGCAGAGGCCGGGTGAGGGCGGGGCAGGGCAGGCCAGGGCGGCGGCGAGGCGGTGGGCAGCGGAGGGTGCTGCCTGCGGGCCCAGGCTCTGCCGGCGCCCACACCGCCCGTCGGCCTCGCCAGACACCAAACCAGCCCTGAAACATTTTGTATTTCACCTTTCCTAGAACGAGAAATAAAATACCAGAAAAGAGAACCATAGCCTGCTTCGCCTCTTTTACCTTAAAAATAGATCCATTTTCAATTACAGAAGTAGTACATGCACTTGTAAAAACATTCAAACAATACAGAAAGATGTGGAACGAAGAGTGAAAGTGTGCTCTGCGCACCACTGGGCCTGGCCTTCTCAAGTCAGTGGGTGAGCAAGGCTGTAACTTAACGATACCGCCTTCCCTTGTTAGGGACCCGTAAACGAGAGCATTAACAGATCTATTAAAGGTAGAAAAGAGACCATGATCTCTTATATTCCTTGAGGCTAAATTGGCATTTCAAAGTGTCCTGCTTGGAGAACATAATATTTCTCACAGATACAGAAAAGCCCTTATGAATAATAATTATAATTATAATAATAATAAGTACAAAATAATTTGTAGAAAAACTTACCCTGACTTTAAGAGAAGGTAGGAACAGTATTTGACTCCTCTTTATGAATACAAATAGACTCGTATTACATATTGCTTGGCATGGAATGCTGTGTGTAATGTATGTATTATATATATAATATGTACATATATGTATATTTATGTGTAGTTTGGGCATCTAGCCTACTTCTCCCTCAAACTTTTTCATGTAGGTGTTTATGGCTCGCTGTCTAGAAAATACTCTGCTAGAATGTTCATCTACTTGCGCCACACTTGTCAACCCCAAGTAATCAGTTACTTGTTTTAAACATCCTCAAGCTCCTTTGGGACTCCAAGACATAAGTCAGAAGCCAAATGTTTTCAGCAGAGGAGGTTTTGGGTATTAAAAAACAATAACGTTAGGATAAAGGATATACTTTGATGTGACTGGGCAACTTTTCTGGCAGAATATTTTGATACAGCATGAAGTGGTTTATAAATTAAGACTCTTGTTGCGTAGACTAATGAAAGTGACCTGGCCTTGCCTGCTCTGCTGTGGACCTAACATTAGGTGATCTTCTAAATATTGGGAGAGCCTCAGCTTTTCACTCTGCAAAATGCTACTATTAACTTTTTTCAATACCTCATGGAGACAAATGAAATTTAGGAAGTTGAAGAGAGCTTCGGAGGACTCCATAGAGAAAGGACTAGCCATAGTTTTTTCATGCATAGCAAATATTGGGAGCGTGCTTGCTGTCAGGGGTGGTGGGTGAAGTCGCTACTTTTGCTCCCTATTTTATTACTGATGTAGTTGGTGTGATATTCTGTGTGGTGGAGCTGTTGGAAGTTGAGAGAATCTCTGGTCTGGACTGTGAGGGGAGTGAATACCAAACACTCTTGCTTCTCACCCTTTGTTTCATTAAGCCAACCAGAAAAGGAAACTTAAGCAACTCCCTGGGGTAATTTATTTTTATTTTTATGGGCATTTGCCTTTGCTTATTGTCATTTGTTTTAAGCTATTTTTGCTAAGGTGCTGAAAGGCCATCTCTGAAGTTAGGCACTAAAATTCAAAATTATGGACATTATCTATTTGCTTTCCAATTCATTCTCTTATTTCAACCCCAAACCCAAGAGTGTGGGAAAGAGAAATCTCTGTAATTCGATCATGATACCGTAATTTTTGTGGCCCCAAGATAGTGACTTTAGTGAAATATTTCAACTCTATCGATTAAATTATGAGTTTGGATATAAAATTCCCCCGGCTTCATTAGTCTTCCCGGATCTCCAGGTTTAGAGGCTTTGGGGTCAGGCAGACGTGACTGTGAATCTTTCTCGCCACTTTCTAGTTTCTGGTGCTTGGTCAAGTTACATTGCTCTCGAAGCCTCGGTTGCCTCATCTGCAAAATGGGATTCATGATATTCAGATGATGTGGTATTTGGTTCAAGATAGGTCCTGGCATGTAGTTGGTGCTTGGTAATGATGAGTTTTTATTGTCTTTCTTTTCATTCCTGCTTTGTCTTGAAGCTATTTTCACAATCAGAAGCTTGAGAGGGTTTGTGAAGTGTGTGTGTTCTGGAGGGGTTGACGTATGGATACGGGTGGGAATACCTTGCAAATAGGCCATAGGGTCCAAAACAGAGCCTGACTCAGTTTTCACATTAGTTTGTGTTGCTGGAAGAGGAGGCCTTTGGGTAATGGAGGTCCTGAGGCAGGAATACTTTACTACCTGCAGAAACAGGTTGTTGCTTTTCACTTGAGAGGCCTGGGGACACCTCCAAAAAGCTGGGGTCAAAAGGTCCCCTCATTCCCTGGGCTCTCTTGGGCCGAGTAGCTGACTGAGGGGAAGGCACAGCTGGCTGGAGCCCTTCTGCACTGAGATAGGATACTCACATAGGCAACCTTCAGCTGCCTGTGAAGCAAGTGGCCATATGAGGTTTCACTCATCATGTTAGGTTGCGATTAGGTGTTCCTTCGCCGAAGGGTCCTCAATGACTCACTTTGTCACAAGTTCTTTGGGCCTTTTAGCTGTTTCAGCACGGATAGGGTACCCCTGGGTGATGCACCAGGACTGGCTGGGACCAAGCCCTGGCCCAGGTGCCCCGAGGCAACGAGGCCACCCTTGCCCAGCGCTGGCGCATCCGCTGGTGCCCAGCGCTCGCCGCCTCCACCTGCTGGGGCTCGTCCGAGATCATACCCAGTGCCACAGGGCTCTGTGGCCCGGGGGCACCGCGGATCCCCAGGGAGGCTGGACCTGGGAGGCCGGGTTGCGTATCGGGCGCCGAGGCCGCCTCCTTGAGGCAGGTCCGCCAGGCTGGGGCGCAGACACGGCGGCTCCGCCAGGCCCATTAATAACCCCGAGGGCGCAGCGATCCGACAGCGCGGTCGCCGCAGGCCCTGCTTCCCGGGGCCGCCTGGCCTCTTCCCGCCAAGTGTGAGTCGAGGGACAGTGGGCGTCCACGGCTGCCTGGCCCGGAGGGTGGGGGTCCCCTTGAGGGCTGGCTGTTCCGGGGAACGTCAGAGAGAGACGGCTTCACAGCAGCTCTCTGTTTATAACGCAGGATAATCGCAGTTAGCCTGGGGATCAACCGTTAGGGCAGGAGTTGGGGTCCTCTCCATTGAACCATTATCCTGATCATTAAAGACCCATGACCCTCATCGTTAAATTTGCTATTCCTTTCTTTTTGGCTTCCGGGAAGAGCTTCCACGCAAGTACAGTCACCCCTAAACCCACCAGAAGAGCCCCTGTTCCTCCACCCGTCCCCACCTGGCTGGAGTGCCCAGAGCGAGCGCTGCCCCGTGCTCGAAGGACGTCAGCGCCAGTGCGCCCTCGGAGGCTGGCTTCTGGGACTTGGGCTCCGGGGCCCAAGGCCCGCTCCGCCCTCGCGCGCGGCCGCAGGGGGAGGGGGTCCAGAGGAGTGGGAGTGGCGACCGAGCCAGACTGGTTGCCCACCTGCCCTGGTAGTTTTCAGTCTCTTCTGTAATTGTAAAAAGAGGAAAACCAAATACACCCAGGCGACCAATGTAGAATCTCTCCGAGGTACCAGATTGGGCAAGAGATGGGCTTTTCATGGGACAATGATAGACCCACTGCGAAACACCAGAAAGAGAGAGAACCCGAGGGAACAGCGGAGAGGGTCAGAGGGAACTAGGAGGGACAGAAGGGAAGGGAAGGGGGTGGTGGGGACAGAGAGAGAGAGAGAGACCCTGAGCAGAAGCCGAGAGCCGTCTGTTCCGCGGAGACAACGACGCCATCCGCGCCCAGCTCGGAAGCTTTTTGGGGCGCCCTGAGTCTCGACCCGGTACCAGGAGGATTCCTAGGGAGCGGCTCGTGTTCACCTCTCCCCTACTCCCCGTGGCCCCTGCGCTCTCACGGTGTCGTGTCCCTCGCAGGTAGCTTACCCAGGCAGGGATGCTGTTGCCTCGGGGATTTACCCGAGGATGGGCCGCCAAGCGGCCAGGTTAACCCTCTCCCTTCCCTCCCTCCCGCGTGTCTCCGGCAGGTTGCGACATGTGCGCGGACAACCGCAACGGTGAGTGCCCCATGCATGGGCCGCTGCACTCGCTGCGCCGGCTCGTGGGCACCAGCAGCGCCGCGGCGGCCGCGCCCCCGCCGGAGCTGCCCGAGTGGCTGCGGGACCTGCCGCGGGAGGTGTGCCTGTGCACCAGCACCGTGCCCGGCCTAGCCTACGGCATTTGCGCGGCGCAGAGGATCCAGCAGGGCACCTGGATTGGGCCCTTCCAGGGCGTCCTCCTGCCCCCGGAGAAGGTGCAGGCCGGCGCCGTGAGGAACACGCAGCATCTCTGGGAGGTAAGTCGCCCGCCGCCTAGCACATTGCCATCCAGCTGGAGCTTTGGCCAGCAAAGAGCCTGGACCTTGGAGGGTGACAACTTCGAGGAGAGCCTCCTTTGTTCCCCAGAGAGTAGTGGATAGACTTCTCCGGTGATACAAATGCCTGGTGTCTGCAGCGCTTACCTTACGGAGGTGCAGAGCTGGGCGTGGCACAACAGCAACTCAGCCAGAAAGACAGGGCTTATAGGTTTCTGAGATGGACTTACCTTAACAAGCCTCTATTCCAGCCGGGATGGGTTTGACCATTGGTCTCCCTGGATCTTGGGAAAAAGAGAAACCAGTTGAGGAGATGAAACAGAGAAGATTGGGCACTGGGGAGTAAGCTGGGTGAACTTTGTGCCCCATTCTAAGCTCTTCCAAGATGTCATTGTGGGTGGGTGAGAAGGAACATAAGTATAGACAGCACGAAGGAGAGTCAGGCTCATTTTCTCTGATAAAAACAATTTTGTAAACACCGAGTATGAGACTGCAACATGTTTCGTAACTTTCAAAGTGCCTGAAGTAAGCAAATTATATTGTGAATCAGAAATCACAAATTCTGATTCTACTCTGACAAAGTACAATTATGCAACCTTCAACAAAAAAAAAAATCAAAACATAGGAAAGCTGAACACTTTGGTATAACCCAATTGATGATAATACCTCAATGGCCCAATCTTACCTGATGCTGTTATTTAAAAATAAACAACCTATTTGAAAAACGTTAACCTGAGCTTTCTCCTAAAGCTTTATGATTAATTATTGAGGTCCATTCCTCAAGAGACAGACCCTTAGCCTAGGTAATCCCCCTACCAATTTTAGCCACTTCCCACCCATAGAAAGTTATTTATGAAATACAAGATGCTAGACGTCTTGCTTTTAAGGGCAATATGTAAATCTGACTAACTGAGGCCAAGGAATATAATGGAGTGGGAATAGCCAGAAAAGAAAGTTTCTTAAATTCCAGGGGCCAAGTTGTCATGGCCCTTATGGCTCCATTAATGGGTCATTTCTGCAGCAGCTTGCCCCACACACTTGGCTCAGCAGCCTGTCAAGATGATCATTTTCACTGTGAGCAGCCTTGTAGTCATTAAAACTTGTAGGACTCAATAATCCACTCAAATTTTTGCTAAGCACCCTGACCAGCACGGTTAGGCCCTGGAGATACAGTGTTGTGAAAAATAGACCCTGTTTCCAGAACCCTTATGTGACTGTTGGCTATGGGGTGCTGAGGCCTGTGCCTGCAAAGCCTCCTTTGATAGGGGAGGAGCTAAGAGTATGAGCTCACAGCCCAGCAGCCCAAGACGACCACATGATGTCCATTGGCTGCACCATGCCCTTGTTATCCTCTGGTGCCCTGTGCCCAGGCCCGCAGGTTCCATTTCTCTCAACTATTGTTGGAAAACAGTTATACATTTTTAGTCTTTTGGGATGGGATTCTTAAGTGAGGCAAAAAAACTTGAGCATATTTATGTTCCCAAATAGAGCTTTTTCTTTTTGTTTTTTTTTTTTTAAACAGAAACTTTTATAGGAAAACAGGGGAGGAGAGCATGACTTGGTCCATTCAGGCAGGTTAAAAGTTAGAACTTTGGGGTAGGAAAAACTGACAAGTGGGAAATAATCGAAGCATCTGGTTTTGAAATATTTCCTAGTTGGTTTTGTTTCTGACTAATTAGTTGTAACCTCCAATGTGGTTTAAAGTTTGTAAAACACTTCCAGGCACTTTTCATGTTTCACTGGTGTTATTAGGAGCTGTAATACCGTACGGTTAAAGGTCTGCCAGTACTTTTCTAAGGAAATCATAAAGCAAACATTCAGTGGTGCTGATTTGCTCTATCTGAAAATGTTAAAACTGAACACTATTATATTGCCCTCTGATGCTCCAGGTTTAGTGCCCACCTATTTTTAGAGTGCCAGAGGACAAAGCCATAAACATGAAAAAAATCCAATAGTTCTGTATTTGTTTGTTTTTTTTTTCCTCAATGCTTTGGATGATGGGGATGTTGGCAGGAGACCACTACACATATGGAATATAATGATATACGTGAATACTGAAAACTATGGAGCCTTTCTTTTGTACCTTTACTTTTACTTGATGAAGTTAAAATTCTGTTGTCATAAGGAGACCAGGGAATTTAATTGGCTTTTTGTTTCTGTTGTTGTTGATACTTCAGTAGTTATGAAGTGAGTTTTACCTGTTATTTGGGTGAGTTAAGTGTGTTGGGTGTGTGCATAGAGTTTGTTCTATGTTATAGAAAAGGCTTGCTGGGTGTTTGCTTGAATGGTCTACAGGTCCCTACTCCTGATTCAGGACGTAATCTATTTTCATCATCTGTAAGAACAGTTAGAAGAACATACATTTAGGGGACTGAAGGGATATTAAAATGCAGCCATGCAAAATCTATCAGTCTCCTAGGAGATCATGTAAAATGTGACTGACTGGGGCCAGGTAACTTAGTGCCAATGTCCATTTGTAAGATAAAACACTTGCTTTAATAGGGCTCAGATTTTTATTAGTGTAATTATTTTTAAGATAGGAAATACGAGTTTATTTTTAATTTTTAAACCTTATGATTTATTATTTTTATGAAATGTGACTATTTGAATTAAGTTACATTTATAACAGAAGCCTCTTAACGTTGGATTGTTCCTTAAATTTTAGTCTTTCCTTTCAAACAAACCTAAATTCTATTGTGAAAATTTTTAATTATTGTATTTTCTGTATTAAAAGGAATCAGTAATTGGAATACACTGTTAGGTCTATATGAAACTTTTGGCAATAATTGTTTAATGACTCATGTAATAATTATCCATTTTAAAAACATATTCTTTTAGATATCTTCCAGAATATCAGGCCGACATAAAACAGATCTTTAAAAAATTAAAAGCACTTGAATCATGACTCTTTCGTTTTAAAAGTCAACTGGAATCGTTTCTCTTCCTCGCATTTTTTCAAGTCACTTGCTGATGAAGAAATGTCTTTATATTTAGAGTTCAATACTCAGGTCCTGATGGATCTTACCAGAGTTACTTATCTTTATTTCAGTACAATAAATGGATTGCTAATCTTTTCCCGTCACTGTTTCCAAGTAGATGATGGATTTTTGTTTCAGTTTACAGTTCATTGTTTTTAGTATGGTTGTACTTTATTATACACATGAAGGCTTATTACAGAAACAATCAGATTCACCTTAGTTACTCCTTTTGTTTAATCATTAAAAGCTCTATTTTCTTTGTTGAAAAATGACTTTTTAATATTTAACATACATCAGCCATGGAGAGCTTGTTTGATTGGTTTGTAAGTGTGCTATCATTTTTTAGTTAATGTTATCTTTGTGTATAATCCTCGTTCTTAAAAATATAGCAATTGAAAGAAAGTTAATTATCATTCCATTATCTTCAGTATGTTTTGACTTTTTTGGGTGTTTATGGGAAGTTGAAAGAGTTTTTCTTTTTTCTTTTAACAATAAACCAAGGTAATTCTTTTTGTAGTTTGAGGAGATTAACAAGTTAAAAGCCAAATTATTAGTCATTTTTGGGGCCAATTTCCTTTAGAATCAGAATTTTAATATGGTTTATAAAAAATAATAAATTCAGATAGTTTAAAACACAAACATTACAGAGTGGGTGAAACGATCATTTGCCTTGCTTACATACATTTATTCCAACAAGACTTGAATGCATGATATATTTCTAGCTATTTGGACATAATGGGAAAAATCTTTCTGAATGTTTTGCAAAGAAAACATAGTCTTTCTCAGCAATTAGGTCTTATTGATGAGAATGAGATAATTTTATCCTAATGTGTTTTATAATAAAGAAGTGAAAAGGCACATTTGATTCCAACATTTATGAAAACATTATCTCAATTATTAATGTGCCCTTTTTCCCTTGAGATAAATTAATCTAGTTGCACATGGTTTTGCCTTTCTGCTTAACATCAGAATTTAATATGACTGGACCTGAGGAATGTACACAGTGTATACTTAAAATTCTACTGGAACAAAATACGGAAGTTTAAAGTAAAGTTACAGTTTAAGATAGGCTAGAATTACTTAGGCCTTTCAACTCAAAGTCTGATTTGACAAGAAATTTTAGCAACAATGACAAGATAAATTGCACTTATTTTCACCCTAGGAAAATGATTCTGCTAATTGAAATAATGTAGTGACTTGTTAGGATTACAGTCAAAGTGCAAGAAAGTGATTTAATTTTACAGAACCTGTCTTCTCTTTGCCCGAGTAAATTTGAGTGTCTCATTTTCATTTGCACTATGTGGAAACCTTCATGATCTTTCTTCAGAAAAATCAAGGGGGATAACATAATGTGGTCCTTTTTGTGGTTTGATTTTGTGCCATAGTAGTTTAGATTTAATAAGAGTTTTGCTTTTAAGCAAATGTATTTTTCATCATTACCGTTTAGCTTAGGTCAAAAGGCATTAATGAAAACCAATATTAAAAATATATTACACATTGCAAAATGTTTATATTTCAAAACCATCACAGGTAATTGGTATTAAAAGGAAATGAATTGATTTCATATTTTAAATGTATTATATATGTTTCTAAAATGACTCAATTCTATACATAGTACTGTACCCATTTGTATATATTTAGATGTTGAAAAAATCATTTAAAATTAATCACTTTAAATTAAAATAATTTTTAAATTAAATTAACGTCATTTAAAAATTGTTCCAGGGGCTGGCCCTGTTGCGTAGTGGTTAAGTTTGCGTGCTCCGCTTCGGCGGCCCAGGGTTTCACAGGTTCGGATCCTGGCCGTGGACGTGGCACCGCTCATCAGGCCACACTGAGGTGGCGTCCGTCCCACATGCCACAACTAGAAGGACCTGCAACTAAAAATATACAACTATATACTGGGGGGCTTTGGGGAGAAAAGGGAAAAATAAAATCTTAAAAAAAAAATTGTTCTAGTTAGTACTGTAAGTATATACTCCGTGTTTTGCCTTATAGACTTTG